ATCTGGAGGAGAGAACTCGTGCGGCTTTGGGTGGGAGGGGGAACCTCAATTAGACCCACAATGCCGTGAGTCGAGTGTTTCTGGCTCATGCTCAGACGATTATGACGACCTCTTCGACCGCACGCGCGCGGGAGCTGCAGTTAGAGACAACCCCCCAACGAAGGCCACTCAATTGCTGCCAAGCAGCGTGCGAAAAAGGTGCAACGGGGGCGATGTGGGTGGTGGGGGCGCCAGGAAACGCGCAAGGATAGCTGAGGAGGCTCTGCTTGCCAGCGATACTCTGGGCGACGGTGTCGAGGAGTTTTTGGATTCGTTGTAATTTTTCTTTTTGGCCTTTTTTGTTTTCCGCTTGCCAGTGCTCCATGTCTTGTGGTGTGCCTGGAGGAGGGATGGCCATTCAAAATAATTTTGCGCGCTGTTTGTTTTTGTTCTTTTTGATGTGTTGTTCTTTTCTCAGGTGTTATAAGGCGCCGCCGTTTGGGTTGATGTAGACGGGGAAAGGTAAAGGGTCGCAGACGAAGATAACTAATTAGAAGCAAAATCTATAGAAAACTTTCTTTCTTGTAATATTATGGCTTTGAGTGTGCGGCTGAATTCATTGTTGTTAACATGCAAGGATTGTGCTCGATTTGTTGATAATGGACGATGGCTACAAGGGCTTTTAGACGGATTTTCAGTTGAGAGTATGCTTGGTATTCCTTCTGTGCGTGCATTTCCCTGTGTCATGTTGTATGGGTCTTTGGTGGCTGGGACTGCGTTTCAAGATGGAGATGCTGATTATACAATACTTTTTTCATCACGTGCGCCTCATGAGGAGCTTTCATCGCTCGAAAAACTAAAATTGTCGCCTTGCAATTTTCTTGAGGTTTCGCGTGAGCATCATCAGGATGTTTTATCGTCTATTCTCACGCATATTAAAAATAAGGATGCTTGTACCGTTTTGGAGCATGAACGTATTTTTACAGCACGTGTTCCCATTGTTCGTCTAAAACGCAAGGGAATTGAGGAGGATAGTGATTGGTTTGATCTCTCTTTGTCTTTGGATGGACTTCGAAATTCCTTGTTGCTTAGGTTGTACATGGAGTCTGATCCACGTCTTCGTGCTGGGGCGCTTTGTGCGAAACGTTGGGGTCGTTTGCAGAAAATTTTGGGCGCCCGACGAGGATGGATTTCTCCCTACGCGTTGACTGTTATGTACATATTTTATATGCAGTCAACGGGACGAAGCTGTTGTGTGATCAACGAAGGTCAAGTCGATAAACTACTGGAGGTTGTAGCAGCACAGTCTTCTGATGACTACAGTCTTAATTGTTCACGGTTTTATGAGACCATTCCTTGTGTGGATGTGAATGTATCTGAAGTTTTGTCGGATTTACATGGATTTTTTAGGTTTTTTGGTGATTTTAGAGAGTTTGACTTTGATGTGGATGTTGTTGACATTCGCACGAGAAACAAATACCATTCGAAGGAGCGATGGCTTGAAGCGATGAGGGGGTTTAGCGAAAAAGAACGATGGGATCTTTTGGGATATGAATTGCTTATGTTGCGTGATCCCTACGAGCCACACAATTTAGGGCGAAGTGTAGATTTTTTCCATGCCGAGATTGTTCGTGAGACCTTTCGATTAGCCTCGGAAAGGAGTACGGAGGACCTTCGTGACCTCTTACAAATGGAATGACTGTTCTGTTATTCCCCTGGTTGCCAATCGCATAACAAGCTTTTGGTTCACGTCCATTCTTGACACGGCAGCCACAACGAGAAGCCGAGTCTTACAGGGAACAGGGGATATATATATATATTCTGCCTCACTTTATAGCGTTGAAAAGTTTCTTTCTTTCTGCCCATCATTGTTCTTTTTTTTTTTTGTCTTGCTTTGTTTCTACACCACAGAACAGGAAAAGAAGTTTTTTTTTGTTATTATTTTTTTTTTGTTTTACGAGGGTCATCACTCCATGAGCAGCAAAAAGATTGGTGAGATTCAGCGAAACGAGGAGTTTCGAATTCCTCTGGAGGGAGAGGGTGCCGAGGCCACGCTGCCTCCGGAGCAGTGGCCGCTTTTGTTAAAGAATTACGATCAAATGAATGTGCGATCCTCGCATTTCTCTGTTCTGGAGTGCGGTTGGTCACCTTTGCGGAGGCCGTTGAAGGAATACGTGAAGTATGGGATGATTAATCTTGATAAGCCGTCAAATCCTAGCTCACATGAAGTTGTGTCGTGGATCAAGCGCATTTTGAAATGCGACAAGACTGGACATGCAGGGACCTTAGATCCGAAGGTAACAGGGGCTCTTATCATTTGCATTGATCGTGCGACACGCCTGGTAAAGTCCCAACAGAATGCTGGAAAAACATATGTTGGTGTTTTGCGTCTTCATGATACGGTGAGTCAGAAAAAGGTTGTTGCGGCCCTTCAACGTCTTACGGGACCCTGCTTTCAAAGGCCGCCTCTGATTGCCGCAGTTAAGCGCCAGCTCCGGGTTCGTAATATCTACTCTAACCAACTAGTGGAGTATGATAAGCATCGCCACTTGGCTGTGTTTGAAACGCATTGCGAGGCGGGTACCTACATTCGAACACTTTGTGTTCACCTTGGGCTGATTCTCGGAGTGGGCGGGCACATGGAAGAGCTTCGTCGTATTCGAACGGGGGTAATAAGCGAAGATGATCACGTTTCCACAATGCACGATGTTCTTGACGCACAATGGCTTTATGAGAATGAGAAGGACGAAACATATCTGCGCCGTGTTATTCTCCCTTGTGAGTATCTTCTTACAAATTACAAACGTGTGGTGGTGAAGGATTCTGCTGTGAATGCCGTATGCTATGGTGCCAAGCTCATGATTCCAGGATTATCCCGCTTTGACAACGGAATCGAAAGAGATGATATTATTGTCTTGATCACAACCAAAGGTGAGGCCATTGCGCTCGCGTATGCTGAGATGTCAACCTCGCAACTGGCGTCCGTGGACCATGGCATTGTTGCCCGAAGCAAGCGTGTCATCATGGATCGCGACACATATCCACGACGGTGGGGTCTGGGACCTGTTGCCGTTAAAAAACGTTCAATGATGAAGGATGGTCTTCTGGATAAGTATGGTCGCCCTCAGGCGAATACCCCTTCAGATTGGTACTACGTAGACTACGGTGGGGTGAAGAGCAATGCAGAGGGTGTTCAGTACGGTGAGCCCCCAAGAAAAAACACAAAACGCCCTAGAAGCACTGAGGACGACTCGGAGTAAAATTACAATTTAAAAATGCACTAAGGAATACTTTTTTAAGCTCTCATTTGTTAAAACTTTGAGGAGGAGGAACAAGAAAAAAGGATGAAAAGAAAAGAAAAAGGCTTGCTTTTTTTTCCTCGCGGTAGACATATATATATATATATATATATATATATATATATATA